GTGTGTGTGTGTGTGTGTTTTTGATCTTTTCAGCAAAAAAATTTATTAAAAAAGTGCAAAGAATAGTAAAAGGACTCACCATGCTTTGGAGCTTATCAACGCACTGCTGAAGACTGGAGTTGGCATTTTTGACAGCTCTTATTTCATCATTTCGAGCAGCTGGCGGCGCCACCACAGCCTCAGGTTCCAATGCAGGCACTGATCCACGTAGTAGCTCATTCAGAGCATTGTAACTTTTACTTCGTTGATCTGAAATAATAATAGTAACAATAATGATAATAACAATGATAATAATAGTGATAACAATAATCTCCGCTGCACAATAACAGTAATCTCCGCTGTACTGAGCAATGCTACAGACAAGTTCCAAACAGTTATTATATCACGCTATTTCACCACTTCTTCATCTGGCAATTTTTCATGTTTTTTGTTCAAAGTCGCATCGCTTCGTGGTCGAACGATCCTGAATTTCGTTTCTTCGCCTGGACAGATTACCAGTTAAACAGTTCTCTTTATAAAAGCAGTTGATAGGTGTTTGACCGCTTCAAGATCTCTCAGATGTGCGCTGAGCAATACTACTTCGTCCCGAACATTGCTACTTTTAGGCACAGTGAGCTACCTTTCTACTTGCAAAGGAATTATTTTTCTGATTTATCGCTTTTTTTTCTTATCAGCTGTTTGTCCCCTCTCCCTGCAATCAAAATTATAAAATACAAAAATAAACGCTAATTTATCTTTCGATGACATCCCAGCTGAACATCGGGAAGCGACGTCCCTATCCGAGATCGGTTCTCCGACGACGATCCGATTCTCCGTTCCAGCCCACTCTTCCCCCTGCTAACTTCGTCATCGCAGATTCTGGAATCCTGGATGAAAGTCGTTTCAGAGACTGTAATGTGTGATATCTATTACAGGAACATCAGTACATAAGACGGGTGAGCCGATGGATCGGGGTCCGCGTGTATCTTCAATATCATTTGTCAGCATCTACCGTCTGAGTGCATATCACAGCCGGTCTTTTCATACCAGTGCCCGGAGATTCATGTTCCGGATGCTTCACTCTGATTCATCGCCCAAAGCCATAAATCTATTCCCATTGTCTAGCCAAATACGGTGGTAAAATAGCAATAATTTGCCGTCAAATCAAACCCAGATGGGAGCATGTCGCGCATTTTTTAACTTCCTTCAATTGCTTCTCCAGCACAACGTTTTCTCGTCGGAGTTTTTTCAGCTGTGCTTCAAGTTGTTTGTGCTGGAAAGCAAGCTGTCGTCGTCTCTCCTTCTCGCCATGGATTGTTCGTTCCAGTGCTGTAACATAAACAAAAACATTATTACGGATTACACATCCCTGCAAAAGTAACTTAAAATGTCTCAAAAGATTTCCCCCTCATTCCTTTTTTTTCTCTTTATTTTTTTCTTCCCTTAACTCCCTTACACTAGCTTTGTTACACGGCGGAATAGGGACTATACTGAGATCCCCAACTTTCCCCCGCCTTTATTCTTTCTTTCTGCATATAGCTTAGGGGTTGAAACATGGAGAGATTGCTGACAAATGATCATATTACCGGAAAACTGTGGATTTGTGACCTTCTTTTTTTCGGTCTTCTCATCCCTGCCTCTCTCCTTGCCAGATTTTCTCCATAATTAAGGCGAGGGATGAAAAGCCTCTTATGTACTTATCAAAATATCACGTAACTTTTTTTTCTGAACAACTTTTAGTCTTCCTCCTGCTTCCTTCTACCCTCTTTCTCGTCCCTATTCTTCTTACACTATTTTACAACAAGCTTCATTAATAATAATCCTGCCAAAATCAATTCCTCGTTATTAGTAAGCCTTTAGATGGTTTTTTTCTTTCGGAAAGTAAGTCAAATGCGATAATTTCGTGGCAAGCCAAACCATGAAAAAAAAAGGACTAGATTATGAAAAAAAAAAAAAACGGCCTATGAAATACACTGTAAAGTCCTTCAAACTGTGCAGTTGGCTTCTTAAGTAGTTCAAATAAGTAAGAAGCATTGGTCACCTCGAATACGCCTCTCATATTCTTCCTTGAGTTGCTGTGCATAAGAATTCATCATCACATCCCTGACAAGATTATGCCTTTTTTTGGCACCGGTTGAATTTTCAAATCAGTTAGTCTGAAAATGTCAAAAATTGAGAAAAATTCTGATAAAAAAAACGACAAAAAACCAAACAAAACTGCGCTTGGGACTAAGACACAGTACTGCTCGTTCAAAAAAGAATATAAGACCCGCATAAATGGGGACAAACACAAGGTACCATCTTGGAGGAGGGTGGTCATGCGGTCCAGGCTAAAATAGGAAGGGAAGTACGGGCTGTGTAGGCCCTATCAGGATCATATCAATACAAACAATGAACAGCCCTTCCGAAGAGCTACGAACATCAGCCAATATAATCAGAGGCGGAAAATAAAATATAAAAAATAAAGAACGAGCCGATCGAAATCAATAAATTGGTGTATAAAAGGAGAGAAATTTAAAGCAGGGTAGAGAAGATTGTAGGGTAGCCAATGTGCGTAAACCGTTTGTCCTGTAGAAGGCCAGGGAGTTCTCGGTGGCAATACTAATTTCGAATTCCCACACCGATTATCCAGGTGATCATAGCATTTTTATATGAAAAACCAAGCGATCTTTCATATCCAAAAAGTGCTATAAAACCGTTTGACAAGACTG